CACCTCCCTGGGAGGGGACATTGCTGATAACAGCTATTGAATGTCCCTGCATGGCTGATAAGAACTGTAACATCCCACTGGGAGATGTGAGCCCAGGGGGAGGAGCCAAGCATTGCTACCCAGATATAATCCAGAGGTTCTGAGACACCAGCACGGCTTCTGCACGGGATTCCCCAGAGGAACAGCAGCTGCCTCTTCCTGCACTGGATCTTCAGAGGCAGAATCCATCCTTCTCTGCAGATCCCCCTTGCTCCAGCAAAACCACATCTGATACTTCAAGAAAACTGCAGCCACAATTCCAATGGCACTGCCACCAACAACCCACAGGGTGTGAGGTTGGGTTCTGACTCTGTCAGTGTTGTTCATGTGCACTGCAGTGTTTATTTTACCCTTTTTTTTTTTCCCTATTAAAGAACTGTTATTTCCTGCTCCCATATTTTTGCCTGAGAGCCCCTTGATTTAAAATTTACAGCAATTTGGAGGGGTGGGGAGGGTTTACATTCTCCATTTCAGGGGAGGCTCCTGCCTTCCTTAGCAGACTCCTGGCTTTCCAAACCAAGACAATCCCAATCTTGGGTAACTCCAGGATCTTTTTTTGCTGAAGTCTCCAGTGCTCAGCTGCCACAGGTGTGCAAAGGTAGAAGGAACGACACCACAGCAGAGTGCAGGGACAAACATGTCCCCTCAAGTGGTGCCACAAAGGCCAATATTCCCATTCCAGGCCTCGGGGATGGACCTGGACCTGCCATCAAGTGCTTGCTGGTTTCTCCAGAGCAGGTGGGAGCAGGTGCTTCCAGTTAGCAGACTGGGGTGGCTCTGCCATTTGCTGGTTGTCACTGTCATTGATTACATCTCCTAAAACCCCTCAGTAACTGTGGGCAAGGGTGGAGGAGGAAAGGGACTATCTGGTGTCACAGACATCTTTTATGGAAAATCCTTTCCTTGGGATTTTTCCTGAGAAGCTGAAAAGTCTCAGGAACAAAATGTAAACAATGGTTATCTGCTGCTGTGGAATGCAACAGGTGCATCTGGGATTGGTCTCATGTGGTTGTTTGTAATTAATGGCCAATCAAAGCCCAGCTGGCTCAGACAGAGCCAAGCCACAAACCTTTGTTATCATTCTTTCCTATTCCATTCTTAGCCAGCCTTCCGATGAAATCCTTTCTTCTATTCTTTTAGTGTAGTTTCAACGTAATATATATCATAAAATAATAAATCAGCCTTCTGAAACATGAAGTCAGATCCTCATCTCTTCCCTCAAACAAAATCCCCTGTGAACACTGTCACAATCTGGGTTTGGGTTTCTCCTTCAAAACTACCATCCTGTTTTCTTTCCCTTGGTTTTCTCCATACCCATACCCATCTGTGAGGACACCCTGCTCAGAGATCACAGCACCACAGCCTGGGAGCTAAACTTTATTGTGAACAACAACAAGTGATGCCAACGTCATCTTTGAGGTTTCTGCTCAATCCTGGTGTTCCTCAGCTGACTTGGTAACACTTCATCAGCTCCACCACTGTCCTCTCCTCCTCAGTTTCCTTTTCCAGGTGGGTTTCCATGGGTTGGGCTTCCCCCTGGCCAGCAGCCTGCCCATCCCTGCTCTGCAGCTTCCTGAACAAATCCTGGCTGCTCTGCTTCTCTGCCTGGCTCAGCAGAGCCACGTTGAGCCCGAAGCGCCCGGTGCCCGCCAGGCTCTGCAGGATCTGAAGGATGGCAGCTCTGTCCCCAGCATGGATGTTCTCTGCCAGCACTGTCAGGAACTCCCCCAGGAGGCCAAAGCCCACATCAGCCTGGAAGATCCTGCCCAAAGCCTCCCCTCCAAGCTCCAGCAAAAACTGATATTTGTCTGTCCCACTTTTCAGGCACCGGCGCCAATCGCGGTGAAATTCCGCAGCGGTGCTGGGCAGCTGGATCAGCTCCTGGAGGAGAAAGGGACACTCAGCTCCTTCTGTTTTGTTTGAAGATTTTGATTCCCTCACCCCAAACAGCCCATGGATAGCTGGGGTGTTTTTACCAGGGGCTTTGGCAAGATCCAGGGAGAAAAGGGGAAGGCAAGGAAAAGTCAGGTGCCTTTAACCCTGAGAAACCAGGGGGGAAATTCAGGGGGAAAAGGGGAACACAAGGAAAAGCCAGGTGCATTTAATCCTGAGAAATAGGAGGAAAAGGGAATACAAGGAAAAGCCAGATGCATTTAATCCTGAGAAACAGGAGGGAAAGGGAATACAAGGAAAAGCCAGATGCATTTAACACTGAGAAACCAGGAAAATCCGGGGGGGGGGGGAAAGGAACGTCAGGTGCCTTTCCCTGAGAAACCAAGGAATTTCAGGGGGAAAAGGGAATGCCAGGTGCCTTTAACCCTGAGAAACAGGAGGAAAAGGAAAGACAAGGAAATGTCAGGTGTCTTTAACTCTGAGAAACCAGGAAAATCCAGGGGGAAAAGGAAAAGCCAAGTGCATTTAACCCTGAGAAACCAGGAAAGTCCAGAGAGAAAAGGGGAAGGCAAGGAAATGCCAGGTGCCTTTAACCCTGAGAAACCAGGGGGGAAATTCAGAGGGAAAAGGGGAACACAAGGAAATGTCAGATGCCTTTAGCCCTGAGAAACCAGGAAAATCCAGGGGGAAAAGGGAATTCCAGGTGCCTTTAACCCTGCAAAACCTGGAAAATCCAGGGGGAAAAGGGAATGCCAGATGCCTTTAACCCTGAGAAATGAGGGAACTCCAGGGGGGAAAAGGGGAAGATAAGGAAATTCCTGGTGCCTTTAACCCTGAGAAACCAGGGGGAAAATCCAGGGGGAAAAGGGAAGTGTGGATGAGCTGTGACACCCAGTGTGAGCACAGATGGCTGTGGGGTGACCCAAACCCCAACCAGGAGAGCTGCAAAAGATCCAATAAACAGAGCTCAGTGAAACCCCAGCACCATAAACAACCCCTGAGATTGTTTGTAAGGCAATCCATGAAATTTCCTTCTCATGGGAAACACCCAGTGACCAGGACACCCCAGCAGGGACAGGACTGAGGTGACTCCAACCACAAATGGAGGGACAGAAAATGTCCTGTCCCTGTTTCCCACTCCTGAGAGACCCAGTGAGCTCATCAGGATTGGGCAGGATTAATTAACTCAGCCTATTAAACCATTAAATAAATTCCCTGTGCTCAGGGAATCTCTGCAGCCTGATCCAAACCCCGATATTCCAAGGGCCAGGAGGGCTGGCTCACACCCAGAGTGAGTCCTGAGTAAATCCCTCATTCCAATTAACACCCAGGTGATTCCTGAGGAATTCCCAGCTGCTGGGGCCTCTCCCTCACCTGTGGGATGTCCACAGCATGGGCAGGTGCTGTCCGAGCTGGGGCTGCACAGGGATTCCACAGCACGTTCCTCCTCTGTCCCAGCCTGTCCTTCTTCTCCAGAGGCTTCAGGTGAGAAGCCAGCACAATCTCCCTGAAGGGAACGGGGACAGGAGGGACACTTTGAGGCTCCAAGCTGCTTCTCTGGGCCAATTTCTGATTCTGGGCTGTGTGAGCACCTAGAGGGTCTGGACAGGCTGGAGAAGAAGGCCCTGACCTGAAATCTCTCAGGAATCCCATAAAAATATTTGGGGGAGAAGCCCCTTGAAGGTGTTTTCCTGCCCCTCAGGGCTCAGTGGCAAGGGGGAATGAGACAGATGTGACTCCATGGATGGATTTTGAGCTGGTCCCAGAATGTGGCAAAGCCCTGGATCTACCTGGATGTCAAAGGACAGGGAGCCTCCAGATGGATCCCTGGAGTTTGGAGGGCACTGGGAGTGCTCAACTGTGGGGCAGCTCTGCCATCCCAGCCTGCCCACACCCCCGGGGCACAGCAAGGACAGGCTGGGAAGGACACAGGGGACACAGGGGACAGCCACCCTCTGCTCTGCACTCCCAGCATGGCCTGGGGGAGAAACGGGGGCTGGGGTGGGAATGGGAGAAGGTGACAGTGCCCTGGGGAGGGGACAGAGCCCCGGGGAGGGGACAGTGCCACTCCACTGCTGGCCACAGCCAGGCCACCCCAGGAGCAGGGACAGATCTCAGCGCACAAGGAGCCACCTGAGG